GTTGCCCATAATGATTCGCAATTACTTTCGTTGTCGACCCAGCTAAAAGCAGGGTTTTCATTAGGTAGATTATAAGCTTTCTCATGGAAACAGCTAAAGAAACCTACTCGAAAACCGGAAGTGGATCGTAAGTGGGGCCACCCCATGCTCGGAATCGCAGCTTCGAAAACATCTCGTAATTGGTACCCTGAAATTGGTAACGTTCCGTTTATTTCACAGGTTTGTCCTGACAACAGGTTTGGTGCTGATAGGGAATCACAGAGCGGTTTGACTTGGTGGGGGCAACAGACGGCAGCTCAGCGAAACATGTAAAGGTCTCCTTGTGAAGACCTGTACATTCCAGTAAACAAAGTGACTCACTTGTACTATTTTGCCGTTTCACAAGAGTTTACAGGTCTCACCGAAATGAGCAGAAAGGAACTCGCAAAGGTGCAAAATGACCTTGCCCCCTACTTCCTCCTACAGCCAAACAGCGCCCTAACTACGAAAAGGTGGACGATTTGGTTTCTTCCATGGAACTCGCCTTCCAAATTAGCGTGAGCGCCGCGCCACGAGTCTGTCTGTCCCCCTTTTGGGAATAAAGTGAGCACAATGGTGATGACTATCTAGTGGATCAAGAACCTCACCTTGTAGTCAAGACCGGCATGATCGCGGAAACCCATGCTTTCCACCTCGTAGGTTCCACCGGGAGTGTTCAGGTCACCACGAGCTGATATTCCTCCCTGAAAAAAAATCGTCAAATTCAAGAGAAATTTCTGGTGAATCAGGAAAATAATAAACAACTCACCTCAGCAGTGTATGGTAGGGGTGTGCATTTACAGCGAGCGAACTCATCATGAGTATAATTATTGTACCTGAAGTAATAAAACGCAATGGCAGATAAACAGTAAAGTAATTTCAAGAGAAATGTACTTCAACCAAATGTGGAGCGGGAGCGACCAATGGGAGCGTTGAGGGGAAGAAGAATAGTTGAGGGGAAGAGAGTATACCCGAGATGTCAGCGAACAAGTTCCGGTATGGTCATCAACACACGGTACATCATCGTGATGTGTGAAATGGTTGTGTCAGTACGACCCCCCCTACCTTCCTCAACACCTACCTATCACTTTCCTACAAATTCCCAGCTCCCTACTAGTTCTTCACACAAAAACTCTACGTCGAGGGGGGGGGGATAAATAGTGCATGTGAAACGGAAAAAGCCGCGAAAAGTCAACAACCGGGAAAAATTTTCCCAACGCGGCAAATTTATCTCAAAGGCACATGCGACTGTCGCTCTCCCACAGCGATCAAATACGAGCCCCCCAGCGGTCAAGTACGACCCCCTCATGTGTTTCCCAAGAATGCTATACCCTGCCTTAACATCCAATAGATCAAAGCTACATTGTACACCTCACCTTCGAGGATCCCGATCTTTGGTGAATGTGTTCCAGCGGTCCGTGAACAGGTCAGTAGAACTGAGCCACTTTCGTTATCCAAAACTGCACCGAAGAGAGGATGGAGGGCAGTGATAGCTTGATGCCTTTTCAGACTCAACATATGGAGAAACCAACAGGCACAACGTGCCAAGCCTGCGACTTACTATAGCCGAACCCATGAATTGTCTGCGCTCTCCTACGTTTGTTCTCTACTTGGCCGGCGAGAAGGACCATGCGTTCATTGCTGTTAGCTGCAGGACCTCAGTGTGGAAAGCGGGTGTGGTTTGAAACTCTATATAAGGCTCTCACACTGCTGGTTTATTTGCGCGCACCTTCAAGTGATAAAAGTGGCATAGTTCTACAGCTGCGAACTAATTCACCTCGCCCATGGCCCGGATACACCTTACTGGTAAACGCAGTATGTCCTTGATTACATATTTACAGGTGCTGATAAATTTCGCAGAGCGTCGGGTACATTGGCCTTACCCCAGATGTCGGATGAGATTGCGCCGACGCGAAGCCATCACTACGCGGCTTCGCAACAGGCTTCGCAAACCGACAGGGCACGCCATTGCGTTGTGATCATTTCCTGAAAAATACGACCCCCCCTAATTCCATCTTCAAGTACGACCCCCTCCCCATGTTACCTCTTCCCTAGATTTTTCCAACCTCCTACCACTTTTGTCTATTTTTTCCCAAAAAATTTCTGGTTTTTTTACAAAATTTTGCTGTCGAGCGGGGGGGGGGGGGAGGTCGCAGTACCTACGTACGTCCCAAGCACGTCCAGCACTCTGGCGCTGGTGTAGCATACTGACAATACGTACGAGGAAGGGCGATGATAGGAGCTACGATCACCGCCCACAAGGACACCATGAATTTATAAGCAATGGAAAGGACTTACGACTGACGATAATAACTGAGAATTATATCGCCGGACCCTTTTCTGATTACAAGGAGCACATTGGCTTGCCAATTGGGAACCCTATCTAAAGTTACACCTTCGCAAAACACCTGCGTGAAACTTTGCAATCACCTCCTGGAATGTGCCATGGCATGCCACATTGGCAGACGGTGTGCCAAATGGCCGCCCAATGGTCCTGATAACCCTTGCAAAGACTGGTGTTCTTAGAAAGCAGTAGCCAAAGATCTTCGAGCAACTGGATGTTTCATAGCTCGGAGGGGTGATTTTTCGTGTCGGGGTGGTCACGAAATGATCACAACGGGGAATTTTTCGAATAGCAGGCCTAGGAAGAAAATTAAAGCCTTGCTGGAAAGTAGAAATCTTCAAGCTTCCGGCACAATTTCTTTTTTACGAAGCCGTGTATGAAGCTTGCCATGGACGTCCAAAGCGTAGCGACTCGCGAAAATGATCACAGATGGATCACAACGATGATCACAACGGGGAAAATCTCTGGAATCGGAACGTTTTTGAAATCGCTCAATTCAGGTGACAAGAGCCAACCTAGCTCTACTCATTCCCACTTACCCCTCTCCGATAGCTTCACTTTCAACGAAGTTATGGTTCAAATGAGGGTACTTTTCACGTGTTTGGCTTGAAATTGGCTCCAGGCCGTAAAATAGCGCGCACCAATGAGCTTGTATGAGCGCGCTGACCGCGAACAGCCAAAATTCAAAAGTAATCCATAGTTCCGGTTCTCAGCTGGCCTGGTGAGTTTTTTTTTCTTATCCATTTGATTGCGAAATTTTGATTGTTTATTTTTGCTGAGTTTGATTTTGTTTTGTTGAGGGTTTTTGATTTTGTGAGGAAATGCTTTCAATTTCTCCGCGTGCATAGCTACTTTTGCCAATGGATTCTTTCTACATTTTGCGGATTATGGTGGATTGATTATCCGTAGACAGATGAGGAGGGTTGGTGGGCGAAGTGTCTTGAAGTTTTTTTGTGAGGAAGGAGGAAAAAGTTTCAGCAATATTTTTTTAGTTCTTGACCTAGGAATATTTTGGACTTTCGTGAAACTATTCTATTTATTGTCATCTACATCGTCCCTTTTGAGCTTCTTTTCACTTGTACCGTGTATCACCGCTCTCTCCACTTCAACATGGGCCATGCGTTTACGACCCCCCCCCCCCCCTTCATCGCGGGCAAATACGACCCCCCTGTTGTGATGATTCACAAAGATGCGTCTCTGTCGCAAGTGATTGATTGCGTGCTGCAATTTATTTGTAACGAAGTAGCGGTGTCCGCGCACAAGTGGTGTACTAATCAGCGCCCCCTGTCAAATGTAGTGTCATTTGATGTTACTGCCTTACTCGATCTTGCTAGTAGGGTCGCAGCGATTATACGAATACAGTTTGACCGAAGGTTCTGACCGTGAAAATCACACCCTAATATGTTCGAATCATTTTCTGTTCCTCAGCTATCTTCCCCCGAGTGAGGTGTCACTACTGAAAACGACATTAGGAATCGGAGCGCGAAAAAGACCTGGAATACTGCTCCGCTTCAAATTCTCAGACAACAGATTCTCATCACCCAGATTTTTTCCAATCTAAGAATCCAATCTTTTTTTCCAGACCTCACTGTGCCCAGTGCTATTAATAATATGGAAAACGCTGGGACTATCTAGGAGCTATGAGGGCTTCTTCATTGTCCTTACCTCATCAGCTTTGTCAACGAATCGATATCCTTCACCTTATGATGATCCCTCTCAAAAATCCTCGCTCGTGGTGATGATCCCCATTTGTACCAGTCAAAATCTCTAGCCTGAAGTGAGAGCATGAATTTCGTCTCGAAACAAGAGTTCTAGAATAACAGGATCGGTAACGAACCTTCTCGCTGAACCCAGCTTCCATACTGATCTCCTTGATGAAAGGGATATTGTATGATGGCCAGTAGGAGTACTTCTTGAGGAACCACGTCACGTCCTGCATTTGAATCGATCCGCTAGAATGGAAAGACAGTTCAGTCCCAAGCGCTGATAAGTGGGGGGGGGTACGAGTGCATGGCGCAACTCAGATCTATCGTGTGGGAGGAGAAAGAGAACCATTGTCCTTTCCCCATTGGAATAGCAATCCTTTGAACATAATGAGGTGGAGGGGCGCCAAAAAGGTTCTTTTTGCTGTGCACGCGATCTGATTCATGGTTTAACTCACGGTGTTTGTTCAAGAATCCATAGCATGTCCTTGTTTGGGATCTCCTGGCCGGGTTTGAATTGCTTGTAGTCGACCACAGTCCACTGATTGTTGTAAGTGCCAGAGTTGTAGCGCGAGAACAATTCGACCCATTCCTTAGGAGTTCTGAAGCATAATAAAATGTTAGAACGTGAACTTCGTGCATGTTAAAGGCACGGTTCGCGATTAGGAACGTGGGCATTGGCGGTGAAATGCGGAAGGGGAGTTGCCGAGTGACTCGTCCGTGAGGAGAAAATGCCAAAGGGAACGTGAAAACACCTTTAATATGACCCCTTCAGCCTCAAACAACTTGCACTGGTGAAATGCCAAAAAACCGCATGTTGGGGCGACTCCAGTTTGCTGACCCCTTGTAATGAACCCCACAAGAGATAATGTAAGTTATCATATCACGCTACCTCACCGGCAGCATCGCTTTAAGCTGTAAGGCGGGCTCCGGAGGCGGTAGCCTGGAGGCGGGAGTCATGGAAAAAGGGAGGGTAAATCATGGAGCATCTTTCGCAGTATAACTCCTGCCACCTACAAGCTTCCAGCCGTAAAACACTGCAACAAGTTTGTTCACTACGGACCGCACTACCCTCTCCATGAGTCTTCCTTGACATTTTCCATAGGTCATCGCAGACTACTCTTCACGTGAACCGTAACGTGAACGTGAAGCATGTGAACCTTTCAGTGGCTAAAGCGACACTGGAAAGCGGAGCTGTAGTGGCTAAGGCTCTACCCCCAGCAATTTGTTCCTTCATCGCCTCATGAATCTACTCCTCACTGTTGCACAGTCCACACTAACAGTGTGGGATATTACAATCAAACAGTGGGCCTTACCTCTTGGTACTTTGGCCACCCTCAGGCGGTATGGGCACACAGACAGAAAGACATGGATGAGCTGACGGGCCTTCTAGATTACATATAGCACGCCACAAACAAGTGCTTCCTCTTCTCGAATTAACCAGGAAGGTCGCCAAACCATGAAACGTTTACCTGAGACCTGGCGGTGCGATCGGATAGTCTATAAGGAGTCATTAATCAAATAGGAGATGAGCAAAACTGGCAACCTGACATTTAACAAGGCGAGCTTAAGAGCCAGTAAAGTTTGCTAAATGGTGCCAGATAGCACAGCGTTGGAGGTTTGGTGGTTGAGCTGCTTGTAAGCAATAAGCGAGAGGAATCGCATGCTTGCAAAATGGAAGCCGGTGGTGGTTCAGTAGGTTCTCGCTTCATAGCACGCCTGGACTTGATTCGATGTTATCGATCCTTAAAAAGGTTTACTGCTTCACAGCTCCACCCCATACAGCCTGCCTCCCTGACTGCACCGACTACAAACTTTTGCGCTGCTCATAAGTTTGCTGGTGGACTGCACGTTGCGAGTTTTGCTATCTGATAATTGATTGATAGCCTTATAGGCCCTCATTTCGGGATCCACCAGCGTTCTCATTCAAGTTCCATGGTAGTTTGGCGAACCATTCCCTGGTACGCAGCCTAAAGATTTTTTTGTCTAACTACCACTAGAGGGTCCCAGCGGGTTTTCGACTGCAGTGAGCTTTGAGAGTGTTGAGATGCGACCGTGCGCCATTTCCAAGAGCTCAGGGTTATAGTGTAGCGTGTATGTCAAAAAGTTCACAAAAAATCGCAATTTCCCCCTCTCCAAACGCATTCCGGCTCGAATTATCGCCTGGAAGGCTTTCAAGACACTTGTGCAAAACTAGCATAACTGCCATTCGAATAGAATTACCGTAATTTAAACTGATTTGCACGCTCAAAGCTCTTTTCTTCTTTTAAGCCTGGCAAAAAACCCTCACGTCCATAATGACCCATCACACTTTTGCAGTAGGATTCTTTTGAATGTCATTACCAAAGTTATTAGCGATCCCGTTTCCTTCAAAATTTTGCATAGAATTACGAGGCTGGATGAATTCACGGTACCACCGGAACTGTTCTAAATGCGGGAGGAACACTTGAGGTTGCTGTTCTGATATGCAAGGAATGTCCACTCATCAGTGAGGGGGGGGCCTAAGTTCCTTGAAATCCTGCTACAAGAGGCAGTCACGGTAGAAGCAATTTGAAGTTCATGAAATTCCATGCACAGCATAGAAAACTCACTTCGTCAAATAATTCGAAATCGTTGATCGAAGCCAACAGTGCACTTGACCTTCTGGTTTGATATACTTGTCACTATAGAGCGACTTATTGAAAATGGCAATCGTAGTCTCGATAGAACCCTGAAATGCCTTGCTATAAAAAATTTTTTGATGTTTGTTTTGTTCTACTAGGTGCAGTAAATGCCTTGGCGAATTAGGAAAGAGTTTATCCATTGGGAGAACACATCCGTGAGGATAAGAATTTTAGCCGAGGCTGGAAAAGCGGTGGAGTAGCTCCAGGGTGGGCGAACCAGTTTCAAATGCGGTAAACTTGAACCTCAGATGACATTGATCCGTGTTTCGCACAGGAAGCTATTTGAAAGCCCTCTCCACTTTTTGAGGTGATTTGCGCCCCCGTTTCTTTTTCAAACAACTGTATAACATTGTCCAGGAAGAAGAGCTGTTTCAATTAGTGATCTCATCTCGTAAACCCTATCGCTCATCACAACCCCCCCCCTTGCTCAGCGGAAGAGCTCACCGACGAGCATACTTGTCGCGTGCATACCCAGCGCTCCACCCTTGCATTCCTGAGGCAATAAGCTTTGTGGCACTTTGCCGATGAAAGGTGAAGAACAGTAGGACAAGGGGGAAGGCAAGAAGTAGCAAAAGGTTAAGAGCACCAGGAAATGGAAGGCAGCAGCAGCATATCCCAAGGATACGCGGAACACTTCTTAAGAGATGTGTTGATTCCACAGTGATTCCCATTTTATTGACCACTGTACACTCCGGCGCTACCGACGTGAGGCGAACATGAGCTGAGAAAGAGCTAATCTATCAAGTCACAGTAATAGCAGCGCCTGTCGGGTATGTGACAAGAGAATCCTAATTCGCCGCGCTGATCGGCGTGGCGTGCGACGTCCCGCCCGCAAATGGCGATGGTTCCAGGTAGTAGACGACAACAGGCAATTCAGAACCGAAAATAGTCATGAATGTCTACGATGACGGGGTCTACATGAAGTCCGGTGCTCCAGTCGACAGGTTAACACGAGTTAGAAATGCCGCGCCCACTGCCGCGCGCGACGTAGCGGCAAATTACGATTCTCTTGCCCGTCTCCCACGCCTGTCAGTGTTGAGTCATTCGCCGCACTATCGCAGCGACATCGCTCGGGACACACCGCTTGCTCGTTGCCGGTGAGTTTTTTCTCTTGCGTCCCCCCGACCCCTCGACAGGAGCGAATAGCAGTGAATGGTTCCCGTCAAGTAATGGTAAAACAAAGTTACCAATCCAGCACTGGTCAAAGTGTAGTCATCTGCAGAGGCGAGTTGAGCTGGGTAACCAGAAAACGATACGGTATGGCCTGGCACTTCTTTTTCATCTGTAAATGAACTTGCTTGAGGAAACACTGTGCAAATAACTGCAACTTCTCAGAACCTGATCGCTTGCGGCATTGAGTGTGCACGATATCCGCGACATTGTAACGACTTACCGAAGGCGAATTTGTACAGCTTCAGTACCCTGATCATCCAGCTGAAGGCTCGACATCGCTACATGGGCGAAGAACATATCCTGAAAAGAATGAAATCTGTCAACGAAAGGAAAGTGATCGGTGAACTTAATCATCAGTGGATAGATGAGTAGGCTGTCAACGTGAAACATCAATGGGTACGATAGCTGAGTATAAGCTGTGGATAAAAGAGGATTATCATCATTTATCACCACCAGTTATCATCATCTATCAAAATCACTCTTATGACTAGTTTTTCAAGTATCCAAAAAAGTTGAAGAAAAGCAAAACGGAAGACATTGTGCCACCTACCTCGTTCCCTGGCGCTAGTTTGACGAATCCCGAGCAGACGTCCGCGCTTCCTGGACTACTCTTGGTGGGATCAGGAGTCTTTGTTTGACGGGTACCTGTTCAGGCATCGAAAAGACTCTGACCGATAAGTTTGAATCAATCCTGAATTGCGATATTGTAGCCTTTTGGTTATTGAAAATCCCCATGGAACCTTTATTCGAGAAAGGCCCACATAAGTTGGAGGACAATCGAAATCCCGATTTCTGGTGGTGAGATTTCTCTTTCATATGACGCGATCGTAGATCCCGTCAGTTTGTCAAAAGTGCAGTATTCACCTTGACAAATATGTTTGACGAGACTCCTACTCACCGCTAAATCGAGTTATTATACAAATTGGCCGAAAAACGTCAATCCGCCCACTGTGATAGATAATTGATTCACTATCTACCCCAACTTTAGCAGGCAGCAGCAAATTCCCAACGGTAGAGTCAGACAGGAACTTTCAGTATCCCTAGTGTGAAAATTCCACGACTCACATGTCTCCAGAAGAGGTCTGTTGGTGGCTGAACGAGCACTTGTGAACGCAACCAGTCCAAATTCTTTGTCAAGTATTTGTACAAACGTTTGCAATATATACTGAAAACCAAGTAGTCTTTGAAAAACCTGTCGACATCCTGGAAAGGGGCTAAACTCACGTGTGATTTTTGCATAGGTCTTTTACAGTATTCCGGTAATGATAATAAATCAGCTGACGAGTGAGTTCACCTGTAAATGAATCAATAAGTACCACAAGACTGATAGTTGTTAAAATGCCTGCGCTCGAGGGCACAGCCCATGCTCACTGAGGGCGGAGTTAGGCTTGCTATCACGTCTTTCTCACTGGTGCATCATTTGTTCTGAAAATAGAGCGCCAGATAGGATTAAGAGCACAGATGCGCAAGGCACGATGATAGGCTTGGCGCCGCCCACAAGATTGGCGTGGACTGTGATATTAACTTGTGCCTGCTCGGAAACTCCGATAGTATCAAGAGAGATGTATCAGGAACTATAATACGAACTGCTTTTCTAAAGTCTAGCCGTCCAAGAAACTTTACGCACTCCCGCAAGAACCCTCTCGAAATTGCAATGGAGATATGTTGAGCAGCATTGAAGGTCTGTTCCACGCTGTTTGTATGGGCGGAGATGGATCTAGTATTATGCTTCCCTCACTACTGATTCGAACCTTCCATCGAAGGTAGTTCATTGGTGGGGTACATCAGTGAGGAGTAGGCTCGGCGCCGCCCAACTGACGAGCATGGAATGCGCCTCCAGAAGAGATATCAGTTGCACTGTTTGAATGAAAAATACATAAAGGTAATAAGTCACCTTCAGCTACTCCAGCAGCATAGGCTTGCACATCGTAGGCATGTCCAGGAAACGTCTCGATTTCCAGGATACCCCAACCTGAAAGTAAAGATTCTTCCATCACCAAAAGACTGTTACCCTCGCCGAAGCGGGCGACGGTATTAATTTGGAGGGGGGGGGGCGAGGGAAGGGAAGGGGAGTAGATGTCCGTTTTGGGGAAGGGGGAAGGGAAGGGGAGGAAGGGACCGGGGAGGAAAGGGAGGGGAGGAAGGGGAGGGGAAGTGGACACAAGCGTGACTGACCACACAGCGCCTCTGTGCCATTGTCCCTAACCGAGGGTTACGCTTGAAGAGCAGACGATCAGAGTCGCGTAGAGATTGCTTGCTCTACTACGGGAGCGGAATGTTAAAAGCGACTAGCTCCGACCCTCTGCAATTCAAGATATGTGCAGTTGGTGAAATCACTTCAATTCAGCTGTCGCCACAGGTTCTTCAGCGCGAGCAGTCGCAAGGTGTGGGTCGGAGCTGGTGAGTAGACGAGTTTACAAACCGACTTTGCCATAAAAACCAGATCAAATGCATGCCTTTCGTTCACATATAATTCAGGGCAAGTTATATAAATCACTGACCCGGTTGTATTGACCTGATTCGTGAATCTTCCAAGGGCGACTTGTGACTCCTTCTTCTTCACAATGTTTGCCCTTGACAATATCCAGCAAGTTATCCTCGGTTCCATGGGTCATGAACAGATTGGACGAGCGTACCATCGTGGAAAGCTGTGACGTTCCGTTGTTTTGCTTTTCTCTCTTTTCGTATCGGTGGAAGCTCGCTGAAACACACAAAATATCGCCAAAAAAGCCAGAAGAGCGGTGGAAGGAAGATCATCTTATAGTTAGTGAAAATTCAAAGGCGGTTGGCCACGATTTAAAGAAAATTCCTAAGAACGAGTAGGATTAGAAGGCCTTGCAGGACGGAATGCCGCGACCCTGAGCAGCGCTGCGTACAGCTCGTTTCAGTCCTGTCAAGGGAAACGAGCTACGCGCAGCGCTCACTGCACATACAAGACCCGAACGCCCCACTCGTCCCCCTAGGATGCTCCCGCCCACAAATGGACGACCTTACCTGAGGCTGTATTGCTAATCATAATTGCCAAGTAAAAATACCGAAGCGAAGGGATTGGTGTGAAGCGGCCGTGATGCTGCATGGGATTTATGGGTACATACGTGCAGCCGTAATTTACCGTAGCGTTATTGGCAAGATGCCTACGGGAAACTCGTCCGAAACTGCATTTGTGAATCATTAGTAACGAAGGCTTTCTTCGCTGGTTTCAATTCACTTCGTTTTTTTTCGCTACCTTTCTCACTATATAGAACCCTGCTAGCATTCTAGGCCAAGTACCAAATCATCTTACCAACTGTCAACTTTAAATGAGTATTCCAACGTACAATATGAGTGAGTCCGTTTCCATATAATCTATAATCTAAGACTCTTCTACTTTCACTACTCGAAAGTGCGGTAAAAGATGCCAGGGTTTACGGGTTTGCAGTGTCCAGGTATCCCCTTATGATGAAGGACGTCCCTTGGAAGTGCCACAGGCTGATTGTAGTCTCGCGCATACTGCATACCTGCTTACCCTTTCTAATCTTTCGGGAGCTTAATGTTTCTTCGGAATAATCAACACAGTGCTAAGAAGAGCAACAGAACAACAAAAGAGCTATTTCATGCCAATTCTATGGGCGGGGATGGGCCTGTTGAGTCCTCCTTGTTCCGCCCTTCCTTTCTTATCTTCCTACATATGGTCGCCGTGATTGTGCATTTGAATGCAGCAGAGTGAACGAATAGTCTTATGAATTAGTTGCACCCCCCTCCCTCCCCCCACAACAGTTTCTGCGTCTCCAAAGTGGAGGAATAAGGGCTCAAGATGTCACCTTTCTCCCACGGACAACGCTATCCACACCTTACTCCCCAGTTGCATAGAGGGACGATAGACAAATGATATTACAATAACAATCGTGTGTATCAGGAGGCATTCATGTACTGTCCGTATAGATGGAAGAACAAGCTTCAGGGAACTCTTGAAAACTAACATGGTGTTCTATGAAGGATTAACTCAATCTTCGCCGTGAACCGATCCCTTCTTGGGATGGGCACGCACTCTCCTTCATTCACAGTCGCAGTGGCTTATCAAATGCGATTGGGTCCAATGACTACCGAGGGGCAGTCGGTGCATATGTCAGTGTTATTATCCTCCTAGACAGGTCTGGTACCAATACACCGTCCCCGGAGGATAAAAGGTTTGTGTTATCTGAGCGGGCACCGATCCGGGATTGATCCCAAGACCGCGCGCGGCAAGCGCGTTACTTGCCAATGCATCACACCGTCTCAGTCTTCCACAGCTATCAGCGAAAATAGTCCCATTTTGCACACTGTAGAGCTTTCTTCAAAGCATGAAGTGAAGCACCGCTATAATCATTCTTTGAAGGCAGCTGGCACTATAAATCCCTTAGGCAAGTAGGGTTAGTACGCCTAGCAGGATGGAATCCCCTCCCCAGGCGCTGCGTAACGCCTTTTCCAAGGAAGTTACCCTTATGAGGCCTTATTAAGCTGCAACATACCGACCCGGACGCCCACCGCGCCCGCCCGCCCACAAATGGACGACCATACCTGATGCTCGTATTGCTTCATTTGCGAAGTAAAATATGAAGCAAATTAATTCATAGGAAGCGGCCGCGGTGCTGCATGGATATATAAGTACATACGTGCAGTCGCATCTACCGTGACGGTTATTGGCACGATGCCTACGGGAAACTCGTCCGAAATTGCTTTCTGAGTCATGAAGAACGAAGGCTTTTCTTCGCAGGTTTTTGACCGTTTCACTTCGTTTTTTTCGCCGTTTCCCACTATATTTCTAGTATTTTAGACCGAGTACCAAATACAAATAAATTATCTGGTGGCTCTAAGGAGCAGAAAACATTATTGAAAAAAAAACATGTTTTATGTTTGCATGGCCATAGCAAGTGGGAAACAAATAAACGCTGACGTTGTCTTCTAAATAGTTCTTGCTCTCACGAATCTTTATACCCGTAGAAAACACTGCGCATAGCGCTAAGCATACAAGCAGTAGGCGCATACCCTGTGAGGTAAATTTTATTACAAGGAATTTCAAGAAAGAAACGCTAACGAAGAACAATAACGTAAGAGCGCGTTCGGCTGGGGAGGGGGAGGGGGAGGGGGCATTTTGGCAACCGTTTGCTACTTCTCGTCGCATGTTGTTGGCTTTTAGCAGAGAGTGGATCACCATATTTTTATAAGAGTTGAGAGAAGTAGTCCCTAGTATCACTTCACGGCTTCACAAGATTCCATAGGCTGATGGGAAGTGGCGAACGTGCAAATGACCTCCCCGCTCCCGAAGCGTACCAGTGCAACAGTGGGGTAAATGCGAATGGAGCAATTTTATGGCAGTGTAGATGTAGAATCTGACTAATTCATTAATGCAATGAAAATAGACGAGAAATGCATGAAAAACTGGCCATGGAGTACAGACAACTGGTATCGCTACCGGAATTGATCAATATCTGAACTCACGGCCATAGAAGAAGTTGAACAATGAGAGCGCTGATCGAGAACATGCCGACAGGAGATCCCGATAAATGAGCTAGGAGCAACTGATCAACGCGCCTGTTGCTTATCCTCGTTCCGAGGATTCTTCTTACTTTTTCCTTCCAAAAGAGTTTTTTCATCGTCTTTTGTTTTTTCTTACTCCCTTGTCTTCGTTACTATTCTTTTTCTTTTTCTTCTTTTCATCGTATCAGGACACTTGTCAACCACGAGACCACTGACCTTTCTCCTTTTTCTTACTCTTCCCTCCTTTCTTTCTTTTCTCTTTCCGATGCCTTTTCCTTCTCCCTTCTACATACCTGCTGAGCCGTACTAACGCGATGAGAAAATACCTGTGGACCCCTACTACGACAGCTTGTCCGGTGACAGAAGCCCGTGACCCTTTTACCGTATTTTTTAAGCGGAAGCGTATGGGCGGCTCAGAACTTCGAACAGAGCACGTCATCCGTTGTGCGAATCCCAACGTAAGGGGATGTATTAGGCTGCTGGGCAAAAAGGGTTCTCGAAGAACTCTTTCCTTGGCCCCCCCCCCCACCCTCGCAGCTCGACCAACAGAATAAAAGCTTGTAAAAAGTTCAGGGAATGTACGGCAAGTTTGTAGAATTCGTCAAGATCCGGTAAAGTGGTGGGTAGCGTTCGGTTTGTGAAGGGTCAAAATTCCTTGGGAAGGCAAGAGTTTCCAGCAAACACTTTCATTCGGAACGCGATGGTAGGCCAAAAAATGTAGCGCTTGACTCGAAGCGAATATACGGATAGCTTTTGATTTTCCGTTGTTTTCAGATGTGGCTGTCCTCCCGGACTTTTCAGGCGGCTTCCGGCAACTATTACTTTCTGCGCTAGTTGAACCGCCGAAGGCTACTCCGCCTAACTGCTGAATTTAGGGAAAGTTCGGATGGGAGACGAAGGTATTGGAGGTTGAGGTTGCTAGTGGAGTAACCCTCCTTTTGGGGTAACATTATGGCACAGCAAATTTCTCATATCCCCAATGATGTGCTCTGTTCGTTGCATAGATAAAGAGTTCAGCGAAAGCGATTTCGAATTAGCATCAATTTATCGAATTTCATGCACTTTCATTTGAGTAGTGCAGCGTGTAACACCCCACGTTCAAAGTAAATTTCAGTATAGTAATTGATTTAGAGAGCCGAGGGAATGATAAAAAGGCCATATGTCCATGAAACACCGCTGAAAATGTGAGAGAGTGAGCTAGCGCACGTAGGAATCTCCAATGAGGAGTCGTATTTGACCTGGTGGTGGAAGTATCTCTTCTGATAATTGATTTTTCCTATTTCTCTTGCGCTATCCACATCTTCTTTTTTCTGGTGGGGTGGGGGGGTCGTACTTGGCCTCAGGAGAATTTCCTTCCTCTCATTGACTTTTCGCGGTTTTTCCCGTTTCACATGTGCTGTGTGCTATATGCCCACATCGCCTCGCTCGTCTGCACTTATGGGGGAAAACTGGAAAGATTGAAAATTGCAAAGATTTCTATAAAAGTGGTGGGAAGTTGAGAGAAGTCAGTAGGATGGGGAGAAGGGTCGTATTTTGCACCAACTCTCCCCAATCAGATGACGTGCCTTGTGCCCTGAGATAGCGTGCTCGTCCGGTAAGCGTGAGGTACCGGTTCGAGTACCGCTTGGGAACAAGAGTTTTGCGCATAAATCAGCATTATTATTACGTATAGCTCAAAGAACCTGTTCCAGGTTTCTCAAGAGCAATCATAACAATAAAATAGCTATTCAAAATGGTACAGTAGTAACGAGAAAGGTTATCAGCATAAATTCCTCAGAATTCGAAAACATATAAAAGTTGCAAATCAATCGACTTTGGCGCATTAGTGTAGCAATTGCGCTTGGCGAGAGATAACATGATCGCAGTAGTAGGTGATAAGTTATCAGCGAAGCGAAGTTTTTTCTTACTAGAATCGTAAAAGTTACGCTCACAAGTTGCAATAAACGCTCGAGTGATGTTAAAACCTTTGAAACGGGACAGCATTGCCAAGGTTATTCCATGACTCATAAAATGCTCTGTTAACACTGAATATCGCGGGCAATGCAGTTGTTAGCCGATTCCCCACATAATCCATAATTTCCATCTGGGGGTAGAAAATGATGCTTACTCAAGACTATAGCTATAATAAAGGCAGTACTGCCGGTGGGTACAGTGCACTCTTCCAATCGCCTTCACTCGAGTTTTCCCGCAGATGCGATGTGCTGATAGCGCGGTCGAGACGGAGTAGAAAGGGCAACAAGCAGCTTGGTCGGAGAAGTCAGTCAATGACCGAAGAGGAAACTGGCCAGGCGATCTAGGGAGAACTCTGCCGGTCTACCTGCTACCTTCAGTATTACATCCGCTCAAGAAGCTGTCAGCCAATTCACTTCGCGATAAGGTGGTATCGTTATCTCGTACTTTTAAGCCGCGGTGATGGTACTTCTCTGGGCTTGCAGACGAATTTCCCATCTTGTCCAGAGACAGTGCCTGCACACCGAGTGAACCCGAGCAGAGAAAGCATCATAGGCCGTACCTGGTCGATGGAGGGAGGGGGGGGTCGTATTCAGTAGGCAATATAATGATCTGACATGAAGCTTAAAAGCACCCGTCACGATCAATGGTGGGTGTTGAGGCCAAATACCAGCGAGAAGGTGGCAAGTAACTCAGGACTGAAGAAAAAAGGAGAGTAAACCTCTGGAAGTGGATAGACCGAACTGAGCTCGTAGGCCGCGTAAGGCAAAGAAAAAGCGTGCTTGGTCGAGTTTTCTTTTGCTACTATCATAAACGGCATTAGCCCTCTTCTCTTATCACATCATTTGGAATGCAATAAGTTAGTAGCGGAACAACCGAACCGCGAGGAAGCTTTTGGATATGAACGTCGGGCGTGACACGGAGCCTTGAG